ATGTGTTTTTTTTTTACTGGCACAAATGTATTAAATAATATCATACAGTAATGAATATTTGCGAACTCCACACCGACACTTTCCTTTAAATAAAATTACATTTCTCCTGAGCCAATGAAAGGGACGCGTGTCTCTCTCTGGCTATCGGCTCAAAGAGCATCAATTAATGTTGGAATTAATAACCCACAAGTGTTCATGATTAATGCATAACAAACACATCTGTGCATCTGAACAGTCCACGAGGATCTGTGCCTGATACATTAATAAAGGAAATGAACGATTGAGGAGGAGGAGGAGGAGGAGAGCCACGACGTCGCCTTTCCACGGAGATTAAGAACATTCACGGCATCTGCGCGCGTCACCACGCAAGGAGTGGATTGAGGTCGTTTCCGTGGGCGAGATGAATCACGACGAGAGAACTTCCCACCGCGGACGCGCTTGGCTACGATCGAATCGGCCGCTCGAGGTCTCTGGGCCGGGCTGCTGAGTCGATTGTTCCGCGGGCAGGAGCGTGAGAGGCATCTTTGGCGGCGGTGGCGTCATCCAGCAGTGGGTTGAGCCAAAGCCCGATTGTGGCAGCTGACGGATTGGTAGGCGCTCTGAAGAGGTCGCTATTCAACATTGCGGACGATGTTTAATGATGCTAACAAAAATACTGACGATAATTTTAGTGACATAAATAGTATGCGATGTTTCAATCCACTGCTCGGTTGGTGAATAAGGTAGCTGCGAGGTTACCGGGAATCGAACTCATGCCGGCCCGGGTTGGTAGCGCACCACGCAAACCACCACATCACCGCTCCGGTATATGTGTGCGTGAACATGCGCGATTATATTAAACAAACACAAATGACGATTCAACATTATAAGTGGTGGACTCACACAGCCCGGCGTATCTCGCCACGGTACGTATATGGCGTGATTGTTAGGAGACACAGCTAATTATAAAATAGTGATGATGAATGTGATTATAATATTGAGTATACATATCACCATGTGATGATGAATGTGATTATAATATTGATTATACATATCACCATGCGATAGTGTACGATTGCATCTGAGGATCGCGGGATATGTATACGGGGTGGGGAGGTATTCATCCAGCAGTAGATTGACCATGACTCAAGATGATGATGATGATAATGATAATATATACTAGTTCATTTGTATGCATTAATTCATTGTAAACTGTCAGTTATTTGTGTCGGTCTGTCGGAGCTGTATGTGTGTGTATGACCACTGTATATGTGTATATGTATATGGGTATGTGTGCGTATGTACGTTCACTTGAGTATTTTCGCATACGTATTTGAAACCTGCTTACGGAATAGTCAATGAACCCTGAACACCTGGGTTTATTCTGTGATCGCGACTCTTGATGTGGATTCAAAGTGCACCTAGCCTGGCACAAATGCTTCCAGGCGCATGTCCGTATATGTGCATTTGAATGTGAGTTTGTGCGAGTCTTGCTGTCGGGAGCGGTGGCGGAGTGGTTAGCGCATTGCGACAAACCCGGCGACTCCAGTTCAATTCCTGCTCACGACCAATAAGAGGGGAAATAATCTGACCCGTTACAGGGCCTCCCGGAGGTCGACTCAGCCTTAAATGGGGACCTGGTGCACACGTGACAAAGGCGGTGCGAGCATGGTGTTGGCCACCCACCCCCTCGTGTGCCGTGCCGTCATTTATCGGTCCTCGATAACAGCACTTGCCTCGGCAGACTGTGAAGGCTATACGGGGGATCTTTGTCTTTGAACACACTCGTGTGTGTAATGGAGTATGTGCGCTGATGTGCATGCGGGTACACGTGTGGCTACGTGTGTACAACTGCGGTATACGTGTCCGTGCGTGTGTCTTATCATGCACGTGTGTGTTCGCACAGGTATGTGTTTGCGCGTAACATTTTGTGGGGAGATATATTAAGCCTTGGAGGGTGGGGGGGAGTTAAAGAGTTAAATGTTACGGTCATGTTCCAGTAACAGCATAGCTCTATATACAGTACATATATTAAATATAGATCATTTATATAAAATGCATGTAAAAGTCCAACAGTACTCCGTAACTCTAGAGTCATAAAATGCATAAATACATTTTGCTGTGTGACACTCAACCTACACATTGAACGCCCATCACTCCATAGCGGCATGGCATCATCAGCCATGATCGATCCACTGCTGGAGGAAGACTTCCCCAAGCCGTTACCGTATATCTCTCACGATGTAACAAGGTCAAAGATCCCCCCCCCGTATAGCTTCAAAATACTATTGGGGCAAGTGCTCCCAGCGAGCATCTATGAAGGTCAACCCAACACACGGTTAGGGGGTGGGTGGCCAGCATCGCGCTCAATCTTCCCAGTGCAAAAGTTAAGACCCCTGCACCACGTACTCGTTTAAGGCTGAGTCGACCTAGGATAGAGCCAGGACAGGTTCAGGTTTTCGCCACCGATGTTGGCCTGTTGGTCGTAAGCAGAAATCGAACTCGGCTGACCGGGTTCGTAGTGCAATGCGCTAACCACAACACCGCCGCTCCCCGTAAGCCTAACAATCCACCCAGCACACGGTCACATCTAGCCGTCACGACGCGCTCACACTCCCTGCTGCGACGAAACTGGGTCCACAAAAGACTGAACTTCGACTGAGTGTCGGACAATAACCCCGTGAGCAATCCCAAGCAAGTAGAATTCCTCGTACGTTGCGCCAATCGTCACACCTGGATTCTTTCGCGCCGCGCGTAGCCAACCGTGCTCATCGGAGGTGCGGGGTGCGAGAGAGGGGGAGCGACACGGGCGGTTCTCGCGTGCGACGCTGGGTGACCGTGGAGCTTGACACCCCCCCCCCCCCCCCTCGGCGACGAGTTGTGATGCGGAGAAGTTCGATAGGTCGTAAGGCCCCTTCACAATACACCCCAATCGGTGCCCCCACTCCGCTTCCTACCCCCAGTTTAATGTTCATAAACACCGCGCCCCCCCCCCCGACCACTGTGCGACCAGAGCTGACGGACACATTGTGACGGATGGATTCTTGAATCTATCTGTGTGGAGCTCTGAGTGTTGTGTGCTCTTGTGTACGTGTGTGTGTGTGTTCGCAGGGAGCAGTAGCGCAATGGTAAGCGTCGGGCTACGAACCCGGCGACCCGAGTTCGATTCCCGCTCACGGCCAACACCGGTGACGATTATCTGAATCTGTCCTGGGCCTCCCCTAGGTCGACTCAGCCTCAAATTAGTACCTGGTGCGGTGTGTAGTAAACATCGCCACTAGGGAGACAACGGCGGCCGGGCGTGGTGCTGGCCACCCACCCCCTCGTGTGCTGTTCCGGCCTTCATAGGTGCTACTCGCTAAGAGCACTTGCCCCTACAGTCTGTTAAGGCGCCGCTGGGGATCTTTGTCTTCGTCTTCTTTTCTACTCGGGTGGCATCTCGCGTAGCGCTCGCCGAGTCAAAAACTTGCCCAACATTTTGCAGCGCGAGATGTTCTTGGAAAATAGTCACGAGACTTACTGAATCTCTCTCTCTCTCTGTGTGTGCGTCTGCCTCTCCATTGTGAATAAGCAGCATTATTGCAATAATCAAGGCTCTGTTTTTGTTTACTTAATCTGCCGCTGTCATGAAACAATGCGTATGTGTACCTCTAAATAAAACGGCTGGTTCAGCAGTCTGTTGAGGCATTCGCACTGTGCCTTATCACAGATAAAAAAAAACAGAGGACACCGACGATCCGACCAATAACCCCTTCTTCAAATGCAGCGGATCATCTTCAGAGCTCTGCAGGAAGATTGGGTCGTCGCCCAAGACGTCAGCTCACCATTTTTTCTTTTATACGGCAGTGTAAATTATTGAACGTTGTTTTATTTTATTTTCTCCATTCATGTCTATATACACCACCAGAGGTTGCTGGCGACAATGGTTGAGCGCACACGTACCGCGTTTTTTTGTCGTGAAGACAGATGCACGCGTCGCCTTGATTATAACAGTTAGCGCCGTTGAACGAGTCTCTGTATGTAACTGCGCGCCAGTACACGTGTGTGTGTCATTGTGTGTGTGTCAGTGTGTGTGTCAGTGTGTGTGTCTGTCTGCGTGTGGGGAGCGGTAGTGTGGAGGTTAGCGCGCTGCGCTAAGAACCCTGCGACCCGAGTTCTATTCCGGGTCACGGACAACACCAGTGACGATTATCTGAACCGGTCCTCCCCTAGGTTGACTCATTCTCAAATGAGTACCTGGTGAGGTGTGTAAACATCGTCACTGGGGAGACAAAGGCGGCGCGGCCGTGGTGCTGGCCACCCAACCCCTCATATGCCGTTCCGGCCTTCATAGGTGCTCGCTAACAGCACTTGCCCCTACAGTCTGTTGAGGCTATGCCGCGGGGATATCTGTCTGTCTGCCTGATCATTGCGATGTACAGTCGCGTGTGACCACTGATCACTCCGTTCGCTGCAAGTGAAGTCGTTACGTGAATGACAGGCGGGCGAACACGTGTGACAGGGGCGAGGCATGGATGGCCCCGGGTTAGAGACCCCTGGTCCGGGGTACGTGGGGTCAGGGTGATGGTGCAGGGGTGGGATGGGGGTGGTGCGGGGGGATATAGAAGAACAAAGACAAAGATACCCCGCATAGCCTTAACCGACTGTTGGGGCAAGTGCTGTGAGCTAACACCTATTAAGGCCAGAACGGCACACGAGGGGGTGGGTGGCCAGCACCACGCCCAGTCGCCTTTGTCTCCCAAGCGGCAATGCTTTTACGCACCGCACCAGGTACTCATTTGAGGCTGAGTCGACCTCTGGAATGGCCGAGGACCCGTTCAGATAATCGTCACTGATGTTGACCCGTGAGCGGGAATCGAACTCGGGTCACCAGGTTCGTAGCGCAGCGTAGCGCTAACCGCTACCCTACACACCCCCCACGAGAACGGACACACACACACACCAGAGTCACGTGGACACACGTTGGGAGACAACAACGGAGAGGGATTTGCGTCTGCGTGTTATCTCACTCTCTCACTCTCTCTCTCTCTCTCTCCCCACGTGGTGATCGCTTGGCTTTTTCTCCAGGTTTCTCCGGTCTCGCCCTCATAAACCGCCTCCACATTAAAAATCGACTTGCGTTTATATATCTTTTTGGGCTGCTTACTACAAATTCCCACGCGTGGCAATGACATCGGCCGCTTCGATGAGCTACCATCGGCTGTGGCCAGCCAGGGTCACCACTAATAGCTTATAGCTCAGGGGGCTTCTAAATACGCAGGTACACAATGAGGTACGGGGGAGACACGGACAGACACGAGGGGCAAGGAGACATAATAGAGAGACACCGACCAACAAGGGTGGACACATGGAGGCATACGGACACACGGGAGACGATATGGGGAGGCACCTCCAATTAGCACGGTTGGCTACGTACGGTGCGAAAGAAATTCAACATACATACCAGGTATGTGGGGTACAATCCGCCCATCACAAAAGCATCACACGGTCCGGTCCGGTTACCTACCCGTGGCTTTTTTTGGGGTTCAGTGTCTTGAACCGCAAATGAATTAAAATGTTTCTGCCTTGTACATAACGATATAATGACCCCATCTGAAATGTCTTCTCAACAGGTGATTGAATGTTGAATATTGTGAAAGCGATGGGCGGAGAGTGTGAACATATTTCGCAATAAGTTGATTGAGATTGGTGGAAGACTTGTAGACGCTTTGAAGTGAAATTGTGTTTTCACGGCAATATTCTGTTGTTGTATCTATACATGGAGCGCCATGAGCATGCGCACACAATGCGTTTTTGTACTTTAACGATACTTGGTGACTCGAATCGGTCGAAAGTTACTCAAGTTACATTTAGAAATATATCATTAAACGACTCATACGTGCATATAGATATATACACACACACAACGATGTGCGCGTTTAGTAGGGGAGCGGTGGCGCAGTGGTTAGCGCGTCTGCATCCAACAAATCCGGCCAAGTGATTCCGATTCCCGGGGGTCCTGGGTTCCCCCCCCCCTCCGCCCTCTTTTCCTCTACCTTTACCAACCCCGTGTAATGCCCAGCGTGGTGAAATATGCTCGCACCAAACTCCCATGACCCTCGGGAGCAGTAGAAGAATATCACCGTCGTGCGTGATGCACGGCGGTGATATGTGAACATGTAAATTGGTGGCCACTTGGCTGGCAAGGCCACCGCGGGGGTCTCACGGTGAGGTGTGGGTGAGGACTCCCAGAGAGGCTTTCGTTTCTTTGCAAAGCTGCGCCTACTGTACCTTGACCTTTAGGCCTTTTTTTTACAGCGTTTTTATTGATTTACAGCTCTCCACAAACACCGCAACGATACCACGAGCCGCTCGCATTCCTCACCGGCCTCCTCCTGCCGCTCTCTGCAACACTCGCGCGGGACCGCGCACTGCGATCTCACTCGCACGCTCACTCGCACGCTCACTCACTCGCTCACTCGCACGCTCACTCGCACGCTCACTCACTCGCTCACTCGCACGCTCACTCACTCGCACGCTCACTCTTGCCCACAATGACAAGACAATGTCCACCCCTAGATCAAGTGGTTCTCTAACATTCGCTGCAGCCTTGCACCCCTTTGGTTCTCAATCGTCAAGAAACAATGTGATCATGTCCGTAGACACTAAAGGGTTTGAGGAAGCAAAGCAAGTTGTACTTACGGTGCCCGTGGCTTCATTTGTGTTTTCGATTATTTAGCTTCTAAAATAAAACCTGGCTCGCATTCCCAGGGGGAGCGGGCACCCCCAGGTTAAGAAGCACCGACCTCGAGACAAAATTGAGGGACAAGTGCTGTTTGCGAGTGCCTATGAACGCCGTCACAGCACACGCGAGGAGGGTGGGTAGGTGGGTGGACATGACCGCGCACGGCCGCCTTTGTCTCCCCCCCCCCACTGCCGACATTTGACACGCCGTACCATGCATGCATGTTGAACTTCTGTCGCACCGTACGTAGCCAAGCGTGCTAATAGTAGGTGCGGGGATGCTCAGAACCGTTTCAAATATTCACTGCCACTTATTTATTGATCGTGAGCAGTGAATCGAACTTGGCTCGCCGGGTTTTTTGTTTCGTCGCGCAGAGCGCTGACCACTCCACCGCCGCTCCCCGCAAATACAAAGATCTCCCGTATAGCCTCAACAGACTGTTGGGCACCACGAGTGGTGACGTTTGCAAAACGCACTAGGTACTCATTTGAGGCTGAGTTGACCTAAGGGACGCCGGTTCAGATAATGGGTGTTGGCCGTGTTGCGGGAATCGAACCCGGGTCGCCGGGTTTGTAGCGCAGCGCGCTAACCGCAGACAAATTCCTCTGTATTGGTGAAAGTGCTGTGAGCGAGCGCCAATTAAGGGCGGCCTCGCGTGGCCGTTACAACGCCCGGGCCGCTGCTGATGTTCTCATTAACGGCCAGGTGCTCGTCGCGTGAGGCTAAAGCAGTCACCTGGGGGAATTGCGATACGTACGGCTCGTCGCTTTGGGCTGGGTATCGAACTCGGATCGTCTCGGACCGCCGCGAACATACAGAACGAAGACAAAGATCTCCCGTGTAGCCTCAACGGACTGTTGGGCAAGTGCTGTGAGCAAGCATGCCTTGAAAGCCGTAACGGCGCACGAGGGGAGGGGGGGGGGTTCCAACACCACACCCGGTCGTCTTTGTCTCCCCAGTGGCGATGTCCACACACCGCACCAGGTACTCATTTGAGTGTTTGCGGTGAGCAGGAATCGAACTCGAGAACGCCCGGTGCATAGCCCTTAGCCACCGCTCCCCACACATATGTGTATGCATATAAAGACAGATACAAAGATCTCCCTATAGCCTCAACAGACTGTTGGGGAAAAGCTGTTAGCGAGCACGAATTAAGGCCAGAACGGCACACGAGGTGGTGGGTGGCCAGCACCACGCCCGGCCGCCTTTGTCTCCCTAGTGGCGATGTTTTTACGCACCAGATACTTATATGAGGCTCAGTCGACCTAGGGGAGGCCCAGAACCAATTCAGATAATCATCACTGGTGTCGGCCGTGAGCGGGAATGGAACCCGAGTTGCCAGGTTCGTAGCGCAGCGCGCTAACTACCACACTACCGCTCCCCACTGAAGGTGTGTATATGTGGATACACACACACGGATCTGTGTGCACGTGCGTGCGCATCGCAGTCGACGCATGGATGGTGATTGTGACAACAGGATTGTCGCGTGCTACGAATCCACGAGTAATTATGATCACGGTATTTATAACGGTGGAATCGCGCGCCGACTATAATATGCTTGACTTGAATTCCGAATAGCGCATTAAATGCGCATTGTTTTTAGTTTCATCAATAAGCGACCTCGTTCTTTTTTTTATCCCGGTATGAACGCGTACGATGGATGGTATGCAAGAAGCAAAAAAATACTTTCATTTCCCGAGTGTAGCCCAATGAGCTAAGGAGTTCATTTTCAAGGGCGACTCGGCCAATGCAATATAATGATGCTAACATATCCTAGAATATATGTGCGCAGTAATATATATGATAATATATATGCAATTTAATAATAACTAAAAACCTTTGGGTGGCTGACCCGTAGAGCGAGCGGCTCACGATCGGGTGGTTGCGAGTTCAGATCTTGGTTGGAGGTTGACTCAGCCCATCACCCGTGCAGAGGCCGATAAAACGAATGCCACGGCAGTATATGGAGAATAAAAAAAAACGGTGCAGGTGGTCCTATGGATACACTCGTCCGCCCGGCCATAGCCACGAGGAATTTCCACCACTGGCTCAGCACTGTAAACGGGAGATATGAGCAGGATATCACTTTGACTTTGTGGGGGGATCGGGGGGGGGAAGGGGAATAAAAAAAAATACCAACAACAAAAACACACAAGAGGTGTAGCTCGCGTCTCCCCGGCCACACATCGCCGCGCACTGCGAGCTGAACTCTGGGTTAGTTGGGGCACAGGGGGTCCGGCGCGTGCCGCTTACCAGCCAGGACGTCCTCGGCACGATAGACCCCGGATCTTGCAGCCGAGCTTCCGAGCCTCGAAATGGATTTAGATATAGAGCAAGAGTGGGGGGGGGGGGGGGGGTAGGAGACAAAGAGGGCCTTGGTTGGGGTAGAGGGGACCGCGAGGAGCCGTGTGGTAATGAACAGAGACGCGCGGCTATGCGACCGGACCCCCGAGATGTTTGCTCGCGTGTGTGTCTCTGTGTGTGTGCACGTGCGTTCCCGTACACACGCACACACACACATACATTGATGCTGCTAAGCGACTGCTTTTTAAGTCGGGGTATCGGTGCCAAAGAGGGAGCCCCCTGTGCTGAGCGGGGTCCCCAGCCCCTATATGGTGATGGGGGCTGGCTGGCCGGGGTCGCGCGACCCCCTCGAAACCGCCTTTGTCGGCGGCTGAGTGTCTCGGGCGCTTGGAACGCCGACCACGTTCCGACTGCGCCCCTGCTGAGCCACGCATCAACGGCTAGAGGCCCCCTCTTTTCCTATCCCTGCAACCCCCCCCCCCCCAAACTCGTAAACAACAACAACAGCAGCAGCCGATAACTACAATCCAACACTGGTTAATCAGACGAATAATAATGAGCCCGTAAAGGAGTGTATTTATTCTATGATGTGCGTCAATTTGAACGATAATCCACCGCTATTACGCCGCAGGCTGCGTGTTGTGTATAAATAATAATAATAACAACGCTTTAACATGTGCGCGGATAATTTGAAAACCTTCTCTAAATGAAAATAAAACTCCCTTTGCTTCTTGCTTTTCATTATTCTTATTGCTCGTTTTGAATAAATAAATAAATAAATGGATATGTAAGTAGCCTACTAATCCTAATGTATACATTCTCACGATGCACGTGCGATTTGCACCCGTGAAATAATCGCGAATGTTAATCGACACGGCGTCAATGAATGGCCTCGCGATGTCACCGGCTGTCCCACCTATGCAGCTCGAGGCAGTCGCCAATGGCGAGCTCCACTGCGGACCTTGGGTTTGGCTACGAATTCGTCCGCCAATGTTAATGTCGCTTGCCCGATGCTCGTCGCATGCGCCGCCGTGCGAGTCTCTGCGCCTCAATCGCAGCGATGTTATTCTCTTCCGGTCGCCCAAATTAAAACAAAAAAATCGCTGCCGAGCGCTCGGAAGTCTCGTGCCGCTGCGCGTGGGGAGGAGCAGGCGTGTACATGGAAGCCCTCGCTGTGCGGTCCAAGAATCACTCCCTCCATATCGCCGACGACCGCTCGACGTTTCGCTTCGGACGAAAGCGAAGGCGCGTCCGCGTTGCGCACGTTCACGACGCGGCGTCGCCTCCTCGTTCGCTCGTTCGCTCGCTCGCTCGCTCGCTCGCCCACGTGTGCGCGCGGGATGGATGCGTGCAGTGTAAAAGCCGGCGCGGTCTCACGCTAGGTGGCAGCAGGACTACAGGCGAGAAGAAGTCGGCTACGTCGGCGTTACGAGGCGTTAGTCAAAGGAGGCCACGATCAGAGTGAATCAGAGAGAGAGTCGGAGGAGAGAGAGAGAGACACACACATAAGAGTCTGGGGAGACAGGACGCGCGCGCGAAGCTCAGAGCGCAAACCTCTTCCTCCTCTTCGTCTCTTCACGGAGCCGCGCAGAGGAGGAGGAGACCTCGATGACTTCGGACCATCTCCTCCAGTCGACGCTGAGACACAGACACTGCGGTTTGTGCCCTTGGCTGAGCGTGGTAAATCTGGCTTTATGCATTCATTAACACGCGCTCGTTGTGTGCTGTTGTTTTGTCCGCTAAGCGTCGGTGAATGAATGAGCGGCTCGCACTTTGCGTCTCGCGTGCACCCCCCCCTCCACCCCAGCCTCTCTGTCTCTCTCTCTCTCTCCCCGTGCGCGTTGCATGCGGCACCGCGTCCCGTAACGCGATCGGCCGGGTTTCTCGGGGTGTGTGTGCGGCGGCAACAGCCAGCAGAATAAGCAACAGCAGCAGCAACAACAGCAGTAGCAGCAGCAGCAACAGCAGCAACAACAGCAGCAGCAGCAACAGCAGCAACAACAGCAGCAGTAGCAGCAGCAACAACAACAGCAGCAGCAACAGCAGAAGCAGTAACAGAAGCAGCAGCAGAAGCAGCAGCAGTAACATCAGCAGCAGTAACAGCAGCAGCAGTAACAGCAGCAGTAACATCAGCAGCAGTAACAGCAGCAGCAGTAACAGCAGCAGCAGTAGCAGCAGATACAGCAGCAAAGAACAGCAGCAACAACAACAGCAGCAGCAGTAGCAGCAGCAGTAGATACAGCAGCAAAGAACAGCAGCAACAACAGCAGCAAGCGTGCGGGTTGCACTTTCTACTTACGCCGGTTAGAGCACTGCGGTGGCCGTGGCCGTGGCCGCGCGCGGGGGGGACTCCGGGACTCCGACGTCGCTAAGATGACAACGCGGCTGGTCGCGGGGATGGGAACGAGAGGGCCAATTGTTTAATTGCCCCCGCAGGTTTTGGGGCGCCGCGCTTAGCGCTGGCCGCGAAGCTCCAGCCAACCCGCACCCTCACCACGAGACTCCAACTCCCCGCCCCTCACCCACAACGCCGGCTCACCCACAACACCGTCGCATCACCCACCCACCCACCCACTAGCTGGCCGGTCAGCCCCCTTCCCAACTCTCCCCAGCCTCTCTCCCCTACGCACCCCACCGCCTCTCGCGCCACCTCCAACTCCTAGGCTTCGCCCCCCACCCCACCCTCCTCCATCTCTTTCACCCAACCCCGCCGCCTCTCCTCACACGCTCTCCTCCCGAAGGAAGAAGAAGAAGACGGGAGAAAAAAAAATAGATTCCCCTTCCCCACTCCTGGCGAGGTTCTGGCCCCTCCTCCTGGGCAACATCTCTTCCCCCGCGGTCCGGAGCTTCAACCATTCGCCTTTGATTATCAGCTGCCAACAGACCTCTCCTCGGCGCACCCTGACACGCCGAGCCTTATATGGTAGCGGTCGTCATAGAGACGTGTCACTTTCAGCCGTCGTGTCAAAGTTCACTATATACCGACATCCGCGGCTCGGTTGCCTTCAGAGGCACATCTCACGGCGAGCCGCTCCCGTCGCGAACGCGCACGGAGCGCTCCTCGCCTGAATATTTGATTGGGGGGGGGGGAGTGTTTTTTTCTCCTTTTTCTATAAGGGGGCGAGCGTCGAGCCAAACGTCTCCTTTGTGCGCCCGCCTCGGCTGCCGAGTGTTTGCTCTGAAATTGTTTCGCTCCGGGAAGAAAAGAGGTGGGGGGGGGGGGGCAGAGAGAGAGAGAGAGACACTGAGAGCGAAGAGACACAGAGAGAAGAGAGAGAGAGAGTGGCGAGAGAGAGAGGGGAGAGGTGGAAGAAAAAAAGAGTCGTGAAAGAAGTCGCCAGCAGCGTTCCTCGCTCGCTCGCTCGCTCACGCGGCGATCTCCGCTGGTGCTGCTTGCCGCGCGCACTCCTCTCTCATCTTTAACCCTTGCCCGGGTTTATTGGCTTCCTGAATGGCTGGCTGCGCTCTGCCCTGGACCCGGCCTCCCGACACTCGCGTGTCCTGATCGCCCGCCCCGCTCCCGCTCTGCTTCGCTCCTCCGCTCTCCTGCTCATCATCAACGCCGCCTCCCCTGCTCCTACGTTTCCCCCTCCGCTCCGCGCGGCGCTTGCATAGACGGGCGTCCTCCTTCGGCCGCCGCTCCTTCGCTCTCCTCATCCTCTTCGGCTGCCTCCTCGTCCTCCTCCTCCTCCCCCCCCCACGTCTATTCCCCCCTTCCCCAGGCATCTCCTCGCCGCGCTATGGCAATGGTTGTCGGGCCGTGGCGAGACCCGCAGGACGAGATGGCGGGGCCGCCGAGCCAGACCGGGCAGCCGCCCCTCGCTCCGGCGGCCGGGCCGCACACCCCGCAGACGCCCGGACACGCAGGGCCGCCCCCGACGACTCCCGGACAAGGCAGCACGCAGGGGGACAAGCAGCAGTCCAATGTGGAGTGCGTGGTCTGCGGCGACAAATCTAGCGGCAAGCACTACGGACAGTTCACGTGCGAAGGATGTAAAAGTTTTTTCAAACGGAGTGTCCGCCGGAACCTGACCTACACGTGCCGCGCCAACAGGAACTGCCCCATCGACCAGCACCACCGCAACCAGTGTCAGTACTGCCGCCTCAAGAAGTGCCTCAAGGTCGGCATGCGGCGTGAAGGTGCGTGTGCCCGGCGAACCTGTGTACACGCATGACAGCAGCCATCTCGCACGCATGCACACAAACACACGCACGCACGCGTACACGACGACAGATGTTTACACGTGCACAGTTGTTATGCAGCACGTTTTTAAATCGCTCGCATGTACACACGCGCACACACATACGCGAGCGAGCGCGCGTGCTTTACACGGATGCCTAACGTTTTGTAAATATTTAGCGATGCAGTTTACGTTCAAATGTTTGCGTTAGAGAATTTTTTTTTTAGTCAATAGCTTCGTGTGATTTATTGTCTTAGAAACGGGCGTACTAGAGTGCTTAGTTTTTTTTGTCTGCTTGTGTTTGAGTGTAACGCACACGGGCAATTGCGCAAGTTAATACGTGCGAGCTAACGCAGTAGTTGTTTCACAACGATAAGAATAATATAAAAAACACTCAAACGCAAAGGTGTCAAGGTGCATGCGGACCAGCGCGTGTGTTCGACGCAATGTGTATTTAGCAACACGTGATTTCACAACGCCATCTATATTTCACACTTGCACACACACACGCGCGCGGTCGCGTTGAACAGCGACGACGTTAAAGTTAAACACACACGCGCATCTCCAGTCGGCGCGCCACGTGTGTATTATTTAAACGTCGCGTTTTAAATCTCGCACCGATGCCGTTGAAGTGTTGAGCAGCTCGGGTTTCTCTCTAGCTGCTGCCCCGAGTCTCTTGGTTATTCGCGTGGGTTGTGACTTCTTTTAATTGCAGCTCTTGTCCCCTTTCCAGCCGTGCAGCGGGGTCGACTGGCGCCCACTCAGCACCCCAACCCGGCGCTGCAGTACGCCCTGGTGAACGGCGACCCTCTGAACGGCCACTCGTACCTCTCGGGCTACATCTCGCTGCTGCTGCGCGCCGAGCCTTACCCCACGTCACGCTACGGCAGCCAGTGCATGCAGCCCAACAACATCATGGGCATTGAGAACATCTGCGAGCTGGCGGCGCGTCTCCTCTTCAGCGCCGTGGAGTGGGCGAGGAACATCCCGTTCTTCCCCGACCTGCAGATCACGGACCAGGTGGCGCTGCTACGGCTCGTGTGGAGCGAGCTGTTCGTGCTGAACGCGGCACAGTGCGCCATGCCGCTCCACGTGGCGCCCCTGCTCGCCGCCGCGGGCCTCCACGCGTCGCCCATGTCCGCCGATCGCGTGGTGGCCTTCATGGACCACATCCGCATCTTCCAGGAGCAGGTGGAGAAGCTCAAGGCGCTGCACGTTGACTCGGCCGAGTACAGCTGCCTCAAGGCCATCGTGCTCTTCTCCACCGGTGAGTGGAGCGAGTCGAGTCGAGCGAGCGAGCGAACGAGCGAGTGGGGGAGCAGGGGTGGTAGATTCACAACCAGCAGCAGCAGTAGCAGCACCGCCACCTCGACCACCGCTGGCAGTAGCAGCAGTAAGCACCGCCACCAACAGTAGCACCACCAGCACCCAGCAGTAAGCAGCAGCAAGCACGGCCACCATCACCACCACCCGCTGCCGTTTGGCGTCACCCTTCACCGCGTGTTCACGCGAGTGCGCTGCTTTGCCGGAGTGCGCTAAGGGTGGCGAGTGAACGCATCTCAGCGCCTGGCAGCCGCGTCGCTGTGCACCGCGCGTGTCATTCCGACAAATATCCATTACGCACGTACTTATGTAAATGTATTTACACATTTATATATAAAAAAGAGCTGAGTATACATGATGATGATATTATTAGCAGCAGTGTGTGTTTTTGCGGAACTATCGCACGGAACAAGTAATTAATTAAACGCGTCTGTTGACCCGGCCTTCTACGTGAAACTAAATACGTGTATCTACTGATACATATATACATAGATGCCCTTCTTGTACTATATATATCTAACTGCTACCATTTATATTGATATGTTAGCAGTTAGATCTCATTGGGAGTAGCACGAGAGTGCGTGTAGCTAGCGAGGGACACAAAGGATCCACCCGAGCGAGTGAAGCAATGAGGGCTCGCAACGTCGTGGGGCCGATTAAGCGCCGAGCGCATCGCGAACACGGAACGGCCCCGGCTGGTTCCGCCGTGCACCACAACGGCTTCGGTCTGACCCATGCACGCTCCCTCGCAGCAAACGCCGGCCAGAAGGGCCGGGGATCGCGCACACACGGGGGGTGGGGGGCCTGCTAACTTGGGGAGCCCCTGCCAAACGCAGGGCAAACATCCTCCCATGTATTCCCATCGCGTACACCGCCACCATCAACCACAACGACTACCGCCACCACCCCCATTACATGCAGCGTATACGGTTGTGTGTACACTGTTTCACGCACACACACGCGTGCGCACGTGTGTGTTCATTCACTTTTAAAACAACCACTGCTTTCTGTGCGTGCGTTCACTGCGTAATGCATTCACACATTCACATGTGTGAGTGTGTGTGTATATATATGTGCGTGTGTATATGTATGTATGGGGAGCGGTAGTGTAATGGTTAGCGCACTGCGCTTACAAACCCGGCGAACCGAATTCGATTCCCGCTCACGGCTAATACCAGTGACGATTATCTGAACCAGTACTGGGCCTCCCCTAGGTCGACTAAGCCTCAAATGAGTACCTGGTGTGGTGTGTAAACATCGCCACTGGGGAGACAAAGGCGGTCGGGCAGTGGTGCTGGCCACTCACCCTCCGTGCTGGCCATCATAGGTGCTCGCTAACAGCACTTGCCCCAACAGTCTGTTAAGGCTATACGGGGGATCCTTGTCTTTTGTATATGTGTATATGTGTGTGATTACACTTTCACTGACGTGCGTGATTGCATATCTCTAAACCGGTGGGGTTTGGGGTGGGAGGGTGCGGTTCAGAACAGAGATCTATCTATTCAATTGTTAGGGGAGTCACTTGGTAGAGTTTTAAAAAGTTAAGTTCCCCGTGAATGGGTTTAACGTTGCGGGGTTAATCCGCCAGGCAGTACCACTAATCCGGCCTTGCGTCGAGCAATAAACCCGTTCATCCACACGGGGTTGTGGCTCGCAGAGGTGAGGCAGCCCCCTTACAAGTCGATAGCCCCCCCCCCCCCCCCCCCCGTAACGCGGATAGTACCAACTCCAGCTCCCAGCGATAGCCTCGGCTATAACACTCGCATCGGCTATAACACTCGCATCGTAGATAACACTCGCATTGAAGATAACACGAGCATCGTCCACAATACTCGTATCAGCTCTGACGCTGGCATTCGCTATAGCTATGCCCACTATGTATGGTGAACTTATTTCGCAAGCGTTCACGATAGCACCAACATCGCCAAGAGCACTAGTATCCGATACAGCACTCGCATCATGCATAACACTCGCATCAGCTATAACACTAGCATCATGCATAACACTGGCATTCACTACAGGACTAACATTCACTACAGCACTAGCATCAACGATAACGCTGGTATTCACTATAATACTGGCATCAGCTATTACACTATCATCAGCTATAACACGAGCCACGGCTACAGCACTTGCATCAGCTATAACACTGAAATTCACTCTAGCACTAACATTCACTACAGCACTAGCATCAGCTGTAAGACTAGCATCGGCTACAACACTAGCATCGGCTATAACACGAGCGCTTACTATACCGATCACAGTAGTACAGTAGTACTATCTCTTTCCGTAACACCAGTGCTAATGTTATCCCTTACAAGTTTATAGTACAGGACTATCACCAGCACAGACTATCGCTGTACTAACACGGGCATTAACGCCAGCAGTAACTCTATGCCTAACAGTCGCAGCAACACATGCGTTCGTGAAAACAAGCGCCGACCCTCGCTGTAACACCAGCACTAACTCTCACTTTAGCAGCACTAATGTGGTAACTACCATTACGTTATGCCCACCGCTTGCACTAACGCACAGATCATGCTTCTCACCTCGGCACTAACGCTTTCCTTAACACCATCACTAACTCGAGCTGTAACACTCGCACTAACGTGAGCAATTACACCAACTCCCGCTCTAGCACGTGCCCTAACTCTATCCCTAACACTAACACCATATCCCGCACTAGCACATAATGCTATTATATCTGAACAACCCTATTCCACACTAACGCCAGCACTAGCTATTGCTGTAACATTAATACTGACGCCTTTAAAGACAGCACTAACTCTGTAGCAATATCTCCAACACTTAGCACTAACGCGAAGCTTGAAGCACTAACTCGGTGAAGCAACCCGTGCAAGGTCCCCAATCGCCAACATCAAAGACAAAGATCCCCCGTATAGCCTGAACAGACCGTTGGGGCAAGTGCTGTTTGCGAGTAGCACCCTATGAAGGCCGTGACTGTGGCACACAAGTGGGAGTTGGGTGGCCAGCACGACGCCTGTCCGCCTTTGTCTCCCTCGGCGGCGATTTTGTTTACACACCGCACCAGGTACTCATTTGAGGCTGAGTCGACCATCATAATCACCACCACCGCCATCAGCAATCATCACAGAGTCGTCTGTATTGTAAACTCGCAACTCACCGCAGCCGTTCCTTAGTGGGCTGCGTAAATGCACACTCGATCGTTATCATCAAACGGCACATTTTGACAAGGTACTCCCGAAGAGACATTCGTGTACTCGGAAATTGTTATTCTATATAATTTAACACTGGTAATTCAATTTTAAACGGTTGGTGTTTTTTTTTTGTGTTGTTGATGTTGTCGCCGGCATATTTGTGACTAATTATAGCAATGCTAACGACGTGCAGCGTAATATTGAACGCGTGAACAATGCTCGTGATTTGTGAGTGGGAGCGGTGGTGTAGTGATTTTGCACTGCACCGCGCTATCGAACCTGGCGACCCGAGTTCGATTCAGCGATGGCTCACATCAGTGACAAATACTGAACCGGTCCTGGGCCCTCTCCGCAAGGCCACCTCAGCCTTAAATCAGCACCTGGTGGTGTTGTGTGTGTGTGAACATCGGCACTTTGGAGACAAAGGCGGCCGGGCGTTGTGCTGACCAACCAATCCCTCGTGGTACGGTGCCGGCCTTCATATCGGTGCTCGCTCACAGCACTTGTGCCAGAAATCTGTCAAAGGCTATACGGGGGATCTTTGCCTTTGTCGAGACTCGTGGAGACATCAACGGGATGGGTTTGAATCCCGTCCCGCCCGGCGTGTCTTCTATTGAACGCCCATTGCTCGCCATTAGCACGATTACCGAAAACAATTGGGGCAGACGTTAGCATCGGCAAGTTCTTAAAAGTAACCCCCCCGCACACACTCAATCCACACACACACACATCACACACATATACTGTACACACACCGCACACAAAACACACACACACACATCACACACACACACACACCGCACAGACACACATAACACACACACCGCACAGACACACATAACACACACACCGCACAGACACACATAACACACACCGCACACACATCACACACACACCGCACACACACACACCGCACACACACAAAACACACACATCACACACACCGCACAGACATCACACACACACACCGCACACACACACAAAACACACACATCACACACACAGACACACATAACACACACACCGCACACACTGCAAATAACGAACTCAGCTCCGGCTGTTATCCCTATAGGCAGTTGTAAGCCAAACCGGCTATGCTTGTTTGCATGACCGTGTTTGTGTGTATACGGTGTGTGTAGTAGTTGTAGTAGTAATAATAATAAACGCCCTGCCTGGTTTCGGGGGGTGGCGGAGCCTTTGGCCGTAGCCTCCCGCACGACTCGTAACCGCACAGCTCTGCGAACCTCACGAGTCCCGTGAGTGGAGGGGTGTTCGGAACGCACGCGACGGGGCGACTCCTCGCGTCCCTCTGAAGGCCGCTCGCTTCACACCCAAATCGGCTGCTCAATGTGGCGCGATGCCTCTCTCCCTCCCTCTCACGGCGCTTGATGACGACGCTCATGATGATGATGATGCTGTTGCTGTTGCTGCTGATGATGATGGCAAGGCGCGACCTAAGGCCGCGCGGATAGTCCATCGCAGGATCAGTCTGCCCGCCTCCCCACCACCTCATCTCACACTGGTGCCTCGTTCGTGTGCCCCCCTCTCCTCCTCCTTCCCTTTTTTCCCAATTGCCCCCTACCGCCCCCCCCCCCCCAATTCCCGTGCCTCATCAAAGACGCGTGTGGCCTCTCGGACGCGGCGCACATCGAGAATCTGCAAGAGAAGTCTCAGTGCGCCCTGGAAGAGTACGTGCGGAGTCAGTACCCGAACCAGCCGACGCGCTTCGGAAAGCTGCTGCTTCGTCTGCCCTCGCTGCGCACGGTGTCCTCGTCTGTCATTGAGCAGCTGTTCTTCGTGCGCCTGGTAGGTAAAACTCCCATAGAGACGCTCATCCGTGACATGCTGCTGTCTGGTAGCAGCTTCAACTGGCCTTACATGCCGATACAATAGAGGCGGGCTATGGGTGGAGGTGGAAGGTGGTGGAGGAAGGAGCGGGAGGAGGAGGTGGAGGAAGGAAGGCCGCATTGTGTTTGGCCAGCCAGCCCCTCCAGCCCGCACCGCACAGCACGATGATGATGATGGCGGCATGTGGAAGACGGCCTCGTGTTGTAAATAGAAGAGAAGCGGACTCGATTAATGTCCATTATTATATATATAAAATGAGTGAGAGAGGGAGAGATAAAGCGCGCGCGCGTGCGTGTGCACGCGAGAGAGAAACACACACACACACAGAAACATGTGTCGGCGATGCTGGTTGTTAGAAGATTTCGTGTAGTGTAGGACATGATGCTCTTAGTCGATGTTTTGTAAAAAAAAAATGAAACGGACACGAGAATAATACGGACTTGTTTAATTCATTTCCCTGCCCCTTATTCTTCAATGGCGTCCTGTAAAAGATGAGCGAACGACAGACACGAGATGTGATTGATGGATTACCGTAAAACATTTTTTCCATTTGGGGGTTTGTGTTTCCCAGATTCTTGTAAAATCGTTCACGTGTCTCTACGTAATTCATAGCTGTTTTGTATTTCCTGGTTGCAAACCAGATTCGTTGTGATGGTTACTAATAATTTTGATATAGCCATTTTTCATATTCAGTATATATAAAAAAACAAAAAAGAGGTCTGTGCGTGTGTTATATCCTTGTGAGCCGTGGTTTTTTTAAAGAAACACACAAAAAAAACACTTACGAAAAAAAACCTCGAGAATATGACACGAGCGACAACGGGGACTCGACGGTATTGACAACGGCGACGCGGGAGTCGAAATCGTCCGTCCGTGCGGTTGGAGCTGTGCGGCTTTTGGAGAGATGCGGCCCAGCGCGTGCGCGCGTGCGTGATGCGTACACGCACCGCGTAAATGCTGGGAAGGGGGGGGGGGGCTGGGATGGGGAGGGTCGGGCTAAACTGCACCCTGATGAACTCGAGCAAAACTAAGAGAAAAGTAAAACACGATGGAATAATTCTGATTTTTATTATTAATTATTAGTCGGGCGAGTGTACACACAATTCATTACTTGGGGGGGGGGGGGGCGGGGGGGGCGGGGGGGACTTCCACGTGTTACCTCCCGGATTACGATGATGACGATGATGACGACGATGATTATGATGATGACAATGATGATGATTATGATGATGAATATGTCGCTAATATTGAAAGAGGAGGGATATTAAACAAAAAAAACACCTCGACTACTTCTTTCTCGCCTCCGTTAAAAAAAGATTCGGGGGGGGGGGTCTTTTTGTGTTTCTGAAGACTTTTTCCGTGTGTTGGTAGCAAGAGGCCTGTATTATTTTGTCCAAGATGTTCGATGCACTTATGTTATTATTAAAGTTTTTCCTCTTCCATACAAAACAACGATTGCCTCGCAGGGTTTCTGTAAGGGTGACGGATTCGCGTAACAACAACAGCGAACAAACACAACGATACGGTTTATTTTATATAAATTATGACCATGATAATCGCCATTATTATTATTTTCTTATATAAATATCATCGCACGCGTTGGTGGTGGTGTTTTTTTTCTTCTTCTTCCCATTGTGACGCGATTTTAGACGTCCACCCGTCGAGTGTCGCCACGTGAATTTTTAGCCCCCCCCCCTCCTCCCCCTGCTGACCCTACCCTCTTTGCCCCCCCCCCCCGCCTCCACTTTTACCGAAATTTCCGTCGAACACGAAAGCCGGGGGCGAGGTGGGGGGGGGAGAGCTTTATAGCTCATCGGATTGCTCCAGTATAAATAAATATTCTGATTCTGAGAATTCGTCCTTGGATTCGCGACTCACGGTGGGGGGGGGGGGGGACGCGCGGGCGGTCGGGCAGAGGGGGGGGCAGTAGCGCCCCCTAAAATCAACAGCGATGCAGTGCATCGATATCCCTCGTGGTGTGCAATCGGACGCATTGTGTCCGCGTTTACGGACATGCCTTTTTTTCTAATTATAATTTAATGTTCTTTTTGTTTGCTATTTCCCTATCCTCTCCTTTTTATTTTTTGGCTTGGGGAATTGACAATTATTTCTGTCGCATCCTTTGTGTGTGTGTGTTTCGTCTTAAGATAGCAGCAGCATCAGGATGTTCTCCACGTGCATGTGCGTTGTACCTCTCTTGAACGGATTGAGTCTTGTCGCGCGTTGTGTCCCCTCCCCCTTCGCCCCTCCACCCCCGCCCCCCGTACCGTATATCGAACAATACCTCACCCTGCCACATCCCTCTTTGTCTCCCTCCTTGTTGCTGCATCACTAATTTGCTGAATTACAAAAAAAATGCAATAAAAGCAAAATTGTTAAACATATTCCTGTATCTCACAATTTACACTCTGTCTAAATTAAGCGCAGCCCGTGCCGTGTCCGACAAAGCCCGCACGGAATCGGGGGCTCATGCGGTTCTCGCGAATTGCAATAGTGCGGCCAGAGTCATTGTGTTGAGTTACGCAAGAAGCGAATGGGTAACATCCATCACAGACGCTCATGATTTATACGCATATATGTATTTTTATATATAGAGAGAGAGAAAAAAAACCCCACGCATGACATAAAATATTGAATGCTCGCGAATATGCCCCCCGAGGTACCAATACGAGTAGGCGAGCACGTGTGCCCGTGTGCGTACATTTTTCAAACGGGCGCGCCTGCGCAATGCGCACCTGTACGAGGCTTACACTCGGCTAGACAGGTAAGCGCACGATCCTTTTAAGCACGTGGAGGCGCAGCGGGAAACAAAAAAAATAACAACACAATCTGAGCGCGATTGAGTCCAGAGAAGCACCTGTTGTCCGATGCGGCTACCCAGACCCTGCGGCTACCCAGACCCTGCGGCTTAGCCACTCTCCGTGCCCACTTCGTGGCAGGGTTCATTAAACACAGCGGCGAGATTCGATACACTGTTGTCACCGGGGGGAGGGGGAAGGAGTTTGGCGACGTTTCGACTGACAGGCCTTGTTCACGAACGAGTGGTGGTCGTTCAGGAAAAGCCCTATCGGCCGGAACGTCGCGATCTGTCTCTCGTCTCGGCGATGGTTATTGTTTAACTTCAATTGCGTTGTTATTTAAAATTACCCTTATTACTTGCCTGCATCTAGTCTGATATATTATTCGACAGAAACGGCAACTGGAGATTATAAAATTAAATGTTAAAATGCCCTTAACAGGCACAATAGCCGCCTGTCTGTTCACACACTTCGCTGCGATGACTGCTTGAAAAACAACAACCACACATGGTTTAGATATTGCACGAAAGATACTACTAAATGATTTTGACACGAGCGTTAAGACGCAGGAACCCGCATTATTAGCGTCGTGCGTCTTTGTGTCTGGGCTGATGAAGTGTCGGAGTGCTGTTTTTAGTAACCGCCTCTCGATGTAATCAAGCATACATAGAGATAAGGGTAGTTAGAAGAACCGACCTAACTTGGCAGCGTGTTAATGATTGAATATTTCACTTTAATAGCCACGTGAATCTCGTATCACTTTGCCAGTACGTATGAGCGTAGTAATTGTGTACATTGCTTAACAATACGTGCGTGTGTGTATACATGTATATATACACACACTGACATGTAGGTGTATATATGTTTATAAATATTTCATGTGTGAGCGCGTTTACAATATTTATTACACTTAGATTTGTGTTGCACAGGGGGAGCGGTGGCGCAATGGTTAGCGCACTGCGTCATTAAACCCAGCCACTTTTGAATTCGATTCCCCGGCCACAACCAACCCGCACTGACCAGCGTGGTGAAGTATGGTCAAACAACCACATAGACCAACGTGGCCTTCATCCAGCAGTGGATTGGCAAAGGCATGCAAGTTGTTATAATTATGTGTATACATGACGACATCACAAGAGATTGGTGCCAGAAAGATGTGGCCACTATTTGAGCACATTGGCACAAGTCAGAGGAAAGTGGTAACAAATGACGAAATGTGCAGTGGACCGGCTACGAACTATCTGCCCATGGATCTTGATGATGATCATCATCATCATTATATATACTGTAATGTGAAATTAATGATGAACAAGGACTGCATGCTAACACAGAGCCCCACTCTACCATAGAACGCGCGGACACGCCGCACACGGACCTTCGCGCCTCCAAAGCACTTGAACGCATAAGCCCGCAATATACACAGCACTTGAGCATGGACTCCACTCACAAAGTTCCCCTTCCCATAGCCGACGCCGCGTCGCGAACACTTAAGCGAGCCATCGGCTCAGCCACGCGTTAAACGCAAAAAACGACACCCCTCTGCTGCGTAGAAGAGGGGGAAGTCGCCCGAAAACGAACGCCCATTGTAGATTTCATTTCAGGAGAGCGTTATGGACGAATGTGTTGAGTTTTCTTGTTGTTGCTGTTGCTCCGTTGCCAACGGAGTAGTACACGGAGCACGTGTCCGACTGCGCGTGGCCATGCGTCTCCACACAAGCCGAGCAGTCGACGCTAAAAAAACCCCGCACCGCAACGCATCCCCGGGCCGTTCTCCGTCCGCCAATGGATGAACGCCTCCACACGCCACGTCAGTCATAATGCACACTTACACACACACACACACACAAAGACAAAGATCCCCGTATAGCCTCAACAGACTGTTGGGGTAAGTGCTGTTAGCGAGCGTCTATGAAGGCCGAAACATACACACACGCGCGCGCACACAGAAAACTAAACACATTCGTCAAGAGCACTGTGGTCTTAAAAGAGAACATATAATATACCGACGTTTAGAGCATTGGCCCTTCCTCATAGCATATTCTTCATTTCACGGAATGCATGTGCTATGAAGAAGGGATGTTACCCGAAACGTCGCCTATTATCTATTTTTTTTTATAACGTCACACTGTGTCATTAACGAATGCGCGAGCGCGTGTGCGTGTGTGCGTTAATGGTGCACATCTGCCAAAGCAGCATCACCACCAGATAACGAGCCAGCCGTGCGTGGTCAACGAATGTTGACCATACTTCACCATGCTGGTCAGTGCGGGTTAGGGAAGGGAGGGGGGCGGGGAGCGGCACATCGTTCTCATATCACTGGCCACTGATGTCAGCCGTGGTCGGGAATCGAACTCGGCTCGCAGGGCTTATTATAGATCATTGCGCTTCGCCGCTGTATCACCGCTCTGCCCGGTGTCTATATTCGGAACATTTCAACGTTTCACCAGCTAAGTAACTGAACGCCTTTTTAAGGCTCTGTATCGAACCATCTACAGTTATAGTGCAATAAACACACAAACACACACTTACATACGAACACACGCACATGCGAATGTACACACTCACATTCGAACGTATACACACGACGCGCATACGAACACACACATATACACTCGCAAACGCATATATGCACAAAGTAAACACTCACGTACGAAAAATACACAAAGACATATCCAAAACTCACGTACAAATACACGCAAAAATATACACACTCATACGAATACGCACCACAACACACTCACGTTACGAATACACACACAAAGTATACACAGGGTTTAATTCCTCACCCGATACAGTATTTTGCTCCTTGACTTAGCGTGGAGTAGGGATTGTCGGCGTAAGGCACTACCACTAGAGTACAAAGTCCGCCCATCCATAATACATTGTAATCATTATATTATTGTCCCATACTTTCCGATTATCCGACGAGGAGAAATCAAGTGACTACTGCGGCATGGCCACCGCTATAATCAATAGATTTAAAACGAATTAATCTATAACCGCGTATTCTTTTGTCTCTTGTCCATCCCCCCGCACCTCCGATGAGCACGATCGGTGACATACGTTGCAGAATAAGTTCAAGGTACAGACATTAAAAACATAAAAAACACGGAGCCGTTCCGGACGACTTTTGAGGTTAAAATATAATAAGCACGACGCGTCCAAAAACCACCGGCACGAGCCACTCTTGACTTTTACTCCTCCACATATCACTCGGGCTACGAGATGCCAGCCCAAGGCTGAGAGTGGTACCCCCCCCCCCCCCCCATTGCCACCCCACCCACACCTCAACCGCATCACCTTTGCTTCACCCTAAACTCCATCGTGACCGCTCATCCCGTATCCCTCCCTCCCACACCGGTAGCGTCTCCCGCAGACAGACAGCGAGGCCGGCTCGCATGTTAGCTCCGTCGCTCACTCATCGCCTCCTCCCTCCTCCTCCTGCCTCCTCCTCCACTCTCTCCTCTCTCTCTCTGTGCCTCGTGTGAGATCTGCCACCGTCTGTGTGCTGCCTCGGGATGACTGCTCGCTGTCGCTTCTTGCCGGCGCTCCATGAGAAACCGCAGAACCGCGTGCGCGCGTCGTGCGTAACGTGTCGAGTGCGGCGCCTCCTCTGTGTTGACGCGTTCGACTGAGGGTGTGTGTGTGTGGCTCTGTGTGTGTGTGGCTCTGTGTGTGTGTGGCTCTGTGTGTGTGTGGCTCTGTGTGTGTGTGGCTCTGTGTGTGTGTGGCTCTGTGTGTGTGTGGCTCTGTGTGTGTGTGGCTCTGTGTGTGTGTGTGGCTCTGTGTGTGTGTGGGGAGCGGTAGTGTAGCGGTTAGCGCGCTACGCCACGAACCTAGCCACCAGAGTTCGATTCCCGCTCACGGCCAACACCAGTTACGATTATCTGAACCGGTCCTGGGCCTCCCCTAGGTTGACTCAGTCTCAAACGAGTACCTGGTGTGGTGTGTAAACATCGCCACTAGGAGACAAAGGTGGCCGGGTGTTGTGCTGGCTACCCATCCCCTCGTGTGCCATTCTTTCCTTCATAGGTGCTCGCTAACAGCACTTGCCCCTACAGTCTGTTAAGGCTATACGGGGGATCTTTGTCTTTGTGTGTGTGCGGTGGGGAGCGGTGGCGCAGTGATTAGCGCACTGCGCGACAAACCCGACGAGCCGGTATTCGATTCAGTGGCGAATATTTGAACCGACATTGGGCCTCCTCTCTTTTGACTCAGCCTCAAATGAGTACCTGGTGCGGTGTGTAAACATCGTCACTGGGGAGACAAAGGCGTCATGGCGTGGTGTTGCCCACCTACTCATTCGTTTGCCACTATAGGCTAAATGCGATACGGTGTGTATGGCTGTATATGTTCACGCTGTGTGTTACGTGGTGATTGTTAATGTGTGAGGCTGTGTGTGAGTGCCTGCGTGTCTTCATTGAATTTGTGCGGCTGTTGTGTGTGTGCTGGATAATTAATGTGCGTGGATTGTGTGTGTGTAAATCTACGCGGTTTGTGTGTAGCTATATGCGTGACTGTGATTATGTGCGGTTATGTTCGTGTTGTGTGCACACGTGTGTGCACACGTGTGTCCGTGGCGTGTT